AATAGCGTACATAAAATCGACTAAGCCTTCTTTTTGGAGCATCTAATCGAACAAAGAAGATTAGCTAATAGTCAACAGAGTATATCGAAGGATTATCTCTTTTCAATCTATACTTGTGTTTGGGAAAACAATAATAAAATGGGCGTTTGCACTTGTTTACTCTTTTTATTCACCAAAATCGTAGCGATGACTACAACGACAATCGAAAGCATGATGTCAACAACAACAGTAACTACTACTACGGTAACGACACCTACAAATACAACAGTTACAGCAACAACTGCAAATACAACAGTTACAGCAACAACTGCAAATACAACAGTTACAGCAACAACTGCAAATACAACAGTTACAGCAACAACTGCAAATACAACAGTTACAGCAACAAATACAAATACAACAGTTACAGCAACTACTGCAAATACAACAGTTACAGCAACAAATACAAATACAACAGTTACAGCAACAACTGCAAATACAACAGTTACAATAACAACTACTGCAACAAGCGAAAGTAAGTTGGATCGATAATATGTAGAGACTGTCAAAACTGAAGTTATGATGCTGTTACGTGTTGAAAATAGCATTTACAGAGACACTTCATTGTCCTATCTGTTTCAAGGGACAGATTATTTCATTACTGACTTTGTCACATTATGGAACTGCCTCTTTCAGATGTTAGATTAGTGAATATCATACGGAAATGATTCGAAAATTAAAATTCATCCTATCATACAAGGTCTGATCATGATAGAGAGATTTGTTCCCTATCAGTATAACTGGATGCATATCCTTCTTCGATTGGTTGCTCAAATGTCTTCTATTTAGCTACAACAGCCCCTATCTGTGGATCGACATGCGTGAATACTAGAACTTCAACATCGTCACGGATTGCCTTTTACTCCTTTGATTCAACCACTACGGATGCTACTGGTAACTATCCAGCAAGTGGCAATTTCTCACCAACTTACGTGACCGGATGGGTTGGCTCTGCTATTAGTTTCACAGCTTCCGATGCTCAACGTCTTTCAACAGCTTACATTCCGTTGGACTTGCGTAACTTCACCATCGATTTTTGGTTTTATGCCACTGATGTTAACTCTACAATAAACTTTGCTTTTGTGGGCGAATGTACGAGACAGAAAACATGTTTATGTCTATTTATCGAAATTCATAAGGAAGTTCTTTTTTTTGGCTTTTTTAATGATGACACATCCGGAAACACAACGGTTTCTCCTAATCAATGGTATCATGCTGCTTTTGTCTTTAATAATTTTACTCTTAGACGATCCATATATATGAACGGACTTTTAGTGGGACGCTCACCCACTGACCCTCTTCAAACAACATCAGGTGCTTTCACCATCGGAGGTGCTACGATCGGTGGTAATACCGATTTATATGTTTATTATTCCGGTTACATTGATCACTTGACGATCAGCTATCGAGCAAAAACTGCTTGTGAGATCTATCTCAATGCTGCTCTTGCCTGTTATTTTCGATTTGACTCAAATGGCCCTCTTCTTGATTCCGGTCCCAATTTTCTCACTGCCACCAATATAGGGGCCACATCTGTCACTGGTCGAGTCAATCAAGCATGGGCCTTTACTTCTTCATTATCATACATTCTTATCAGCGGAATATCAGCGTTGTTGCCTGAGTATAACGTTTTCACTATTTCAATGTGGATCAATCCAACGAGTGTTACTGGTGGGGCGACTCTTATCCATTGTGCATCGCTGCCGAACGGTCTGTTGTGTTTTCTTTTCTGAAGGATTTGCTGATAGTATAGAACAATTATTCTGAAGCTCATTCTGAGGATTGTGAATAAGATATTCTCAGATATACACTGCTTTTAAAAATGTCTGACATTCGATAATTATCGTAAAAATCCCTTTTCTCAGTTATCTCATTATTGTAATATATCATATCTACTAGTAGAAGTTCACTTGTATATCAATTCATAAAGTGTAGAATTGTTTGTTATCTAACAAGTATGGATGAGTATGTTTAGGTACGGGCATATGTCTGACCATGTGGGGTTTGACTTCGTCTGGCTCGGTGACAGTCAATGTTGTCGATTCCTCAAATAGTGCTGTCTCAGCTACTGATCCATCGACTTTACCAGTGAATGCATGGACACACGTCGCACAAACATTTAGCTCGACCAGTGGAAGTCGTCTATACATCGATGGAGTTCTGATCACGATTGCCAGTGCACCTACAGGTACACCGGTTGGTCCATATGTTTTTATCGGAGCATCACCGGCCGGATCAAGTCCCTGTAATGCTGGATTAATTGCCACTGGGCAATTCTATGGTAGTGTCGATGAATTTCGTGTATTTGGACGTGAACTAACGACGACAGACATATGTCGTCTAGCTGATCCTTGAGAAACATCACCAGATAGAAATATCTGCTGTATTTTTCAATGCTTTCATCATATAATAAAGTCTTTGTTTTGAAACTATCGCTAGTTTTAATTGTGCCTTCTTCGAATATAATGTCTTATTCGAAGTGTTATAAAAAGTCTTATTGCAGTGGGAGGAAAACTTGAACTGTTAGGAAATAATTCACACTGTTACTTTTATTGTTCCATCGATCGTTCCTTGATGAAGATTGTTAAATACAAAAGAAAAAAATCAGTATGATGTGATGAAGATACCATCATTTACCCGATTGAAGTCGACAGTTGATAGAACCGTCGATTAATTGCCATCGGCTGTTGATCAATGAGCATTGATACACCTAAAAGAAAAGAACCCATTAGTATGATGACTGAAATGCCGTCACTTACCAATGAAAATTATCGACTGATTGTGTTTAGTTATTGATGGGGTGTGGGTGAGGGTGTGGGTGTGGATGAGGACGTGGGTGGGTGTGGGTGTGGGCTAGAGACCTGCGGAGGCGGGTTTTTTTATTCCGAAACCCGACTCCGACTCCGAAAAATTTCTTCTTTAGGCTCCGACTCCGACTCCGACTCCGGAAATTTTTATTTTTTTGACTCCGATTCCAACTCCGAAAAACTCCGAGAAACTCCGAATTTTTTTATCAATAAAAGGAAATCTTAAATATGTTTTATTGTTTAATTTACAACATGCGGAAATCAATGATAAGGTTGCACATTACTACCATGAAGTCTCTCTAAAGTGAGTACGATCGAGACTATTGAAAAATGTTCCTAATAACCAGATGTTCGCCATCGGAAGGTCCATTTTCAGCAAAAGTTGCCTTTCTGGACTCGTGAAAAACACTAATAATAACGAGGTTTTCACTATAGAGAGGCGCTCACTACTAGAGGTTTTACTGTATTATTTTTTTATACTATTACTGGGCAACTGGTAATAATTTTATATACTTTATTGCTAGTAATAAACTAATAACAATATTGCTTCTATGAGTTACTAGTTTTAATACTATACTACTTTATAACATTTTTACTTTCTTCCCTCTGTTACTTTCGCAGATTATTTCTAATTGCATATAATAATTAATAACCTTATATGCTGTTACTTACTACCAGTGATAGTAAAGTAGTCCTGAACGATAAAGGAACAAACGAGTGAAGGAATATCTAAGAATCATTAATAGATTAATTTGAAATTTCTTGTACATTTGTTGTTCAGTGGAAATAAAAAACAATCACTGACAAATTTTCGATATGTACTATGTTCAAGGAATCGAAAATTGGTGATCAAGAGAATTGTAGTACTTTGATGAAATTGCAATATGTTTTCATTGATGACATTATGCTTTTACGTAGCCAGTCTTTTGAACGATACAGCCAAAAGATTATCAATGTGAGGTTTTTGCTTGAAACTCGTTCTTAATATATGTGGCAACTATTATCTTTCTTTTTTTTTTTGTTTGTTAAGCTGAAGAATAAAGCTGCTCTTATTTGAAATAGCAAAAGTTATTCAAACGTGGTCATGACTTTGACTCCGACAAAATTTTTCAGAAAACCCGACTCCGACTCCGACTCCGAAAAATTTCATTTTGTTGACTCCGGCTCCGACTCCGACGGAGTCGGAGTTGAAATCGGGTTTCGGAGTACTCCGCAGGTCTCTAGTGTGGGCGTGGGTGGGTGTGGGTGTAGCTATGAATGAAACCAAGATCTGCACCCACACCCACACCCTTTTTAATTGTTTTAGTTGATAATACAATGTTTCCCGTCGATCGATCATTTGATTGACAGATGTAGGATTGTTTATTACACCAGATTGTACAGATTGAGTTTAAGATTGATTGATCATTTGATTGATTTCGTTTATTGCTTCTTCCTACTGTTGATACTAAAATAAATGAATGTTTTCGTAGTTCTTAAAATATAAACAATGAATCATACTTGTTGAATCAATTGTCGAGCATGATTTAAATTTAAGATAAGATCAATAGGTTTTTCAATAGTATTATTTCTTTTCTTTTGAATCGCACGATTTGGCTCGTCGTTATAAATTCATTATATTTCATCTACAAAAAGAAATTAAATAATTTATATATTTTGTTTATGAATGTTTACTGAAATATCGAACATGTTATAGTCAGATAAACGAATTCAAATCGAAATCGAAACACTTGTAAATCTATACAATAACCAACGATTATTCTTTCTTTTTCCTCTTATTTTATTCGATTTCTTTCTCTAAATTAAAACTATCTATCATTCAACGCCATCTTTCCATTTGAAATCAATGGAAAAACAAATTAAACAAAAATAATCACAATAACAGCAATTATTATTTCAATATGCAATATAAACGGAACTCAAGTGCCACGATTCGACTATTTTTATTAGCTTGGATCACTGAGTCAACACTTTGTTCAAATTTTTTTTAATTTTCTAACATTTACCTTTTATTTTTATTTTTATTCTGTGGGTACATATGATATTCTTGAATGTGTACGCAATATAAATACATGTCTATGTTTTACAATAAAAACAAGTAAATAAGAAGAAGACAACGAATTACCAGCAATAGCTGTAAGAGAAATAACTGTTTTCAAATCAATTCATTATGAAAATATTATTTCAGTTAGTCTAAAAGTAATAATCATTTTTATTTTATTTTATTCTATTTATTTATCTCCCTAGTCGAACATTTTTTGGAACGCGCTTGAAAAACTTGAGCATCTTGACCAAGAAAGTCATGTGATATGGACAACTCTTGAGGCATGTTGTGTCCAAGCACATGAAAAATAAAGTTTGACTAGGACGGTGATTAGATGATCGCGCAAATGTAACGCTGGGATGGAAGTATATTTGGCAAAGAAAGTTTTGACATAAGGATTGATTGGCGGTTCATCGTTATAGGATGACGTGTCTTTATTGGTAGATTCGTGTGTGAACATATTCTAAAACTATTCTACCAACAATATCTGTCTTTGTTGAAAGTAATTGTTATCTATTAATACTTCAAACAAACGACTTCATCGTACTTCAAAGTACTGAAGTTACGATATTTTCTCTCATGATTACCTACATAAAAAAAAGTACAGAAGAACAAAAAAAGCAACGTGATATGTCTGCAAGGACATATGATAAAAAAAACAATGGAAAGTCTTTTGTTGAAATATTTTTATATATGAAAGAATAAAATAATTTTAAAAAGTCGATATAGATGTGCTGTTTCAATTTCAAAAATAGTATAAATTGTTCTTTCTAAATCCAATGCTGCTTGAGCAAATTGTGTTGTTGAATGATACATTGATGAAATAGCAATAAAGATTCAATCAGCTTGTTCATTTCCAGCATAAAGAACAAAAGTTGATGTTGTTTCTCCATGTACATATCGACTGAGATAATGTTTCAAAACACGATTGATTGCTTCTTGATGTTGAAATTGAAAATGAACAACTGTTCGATGAAGTTCAATCAAACATTGTTCATATTTAAATAAATCACTTTTTATCAGATGTTTTCGATGATGAAATGATCCACGTATTAATTGAAAACATTTCGTTTATGTTAATAAAAAATACAATGACCAAAGGTCGAGACAATCATTTAATTGTCGATTTAAATCAATAAATTGATCAGGAAGATCAGGAAGAAAAAGACCATCAGCTGCATGTATTCGAAGATCATCAATATTTGAACATTCACTAATTCTCATCACCTAAATAAAAAGAAAAACAAATATCTATTAAAATATATGTTGTTACTGACTGCAATATTAATATTATGTAACATTCTATATATATATCAGTCCAGAGATGTCATAATATCCAAAAGCTAGGTAACGATAAACGACACGTTAACATATTCAACGAAATGGATATCCAAATTTTTAGAGAGTATCCTATAAACTTGAGGATTTTGAGTGAATTTGGTGTAATGAGATCGATACCCAAATGTATAGAGGCTATCCTGAGAAGTTGAGGATTTTGAGTGATTTTGATGTAACGAAATGGATGCAAACTCGGTACCAAGGAGGAAAAAGCGGATCCTGGATCCTAGTGGATCCTGATGGATCCTGTGGTCTTCGTTAAATAGAATATGCAAAAAATTAGTAATAATGAACCCACTTTAGCTTATATTCATATATTGGCTTGTTAAGAAATTTTTGTCGTTTTTTTTGCTAAATTTATTTTTATTTTTTCAATACAAAGAATACAACTAGCTTTTAGCGATATATGCTCCATCACTATCTATGACTTGTCGCCAACGCTCTGGTAGAGAAAGGATCCCACTTTCGTAAAAGTCCTGCGACTTTTGGTCAAAGAAGTCGAGAAGTCCCATTTCTAGATCGTATTCGTCGTCGAACTTTTTCTCCTTCAGATAGTTAGAAAGAGAACGGAACAAGTGGTAGTCTGTAGGAGCCAAGTCTGGAGAATAAGGTGGATGTGGAACCGTAATCCATCCAAGCTCCAGTAATTTTTCACGAGTTAATTTTGCAACATGAGGTCTGGCATTGTCATGCAAAAAATAAATTTTATCCTGTTTTCCCTGAAGTTTGGCTGCAACTCGGTCTAATTGCTGGCAATAGAAGTCAGCAGTGATAGTGCGATTAGGTGGAAGAAGTTCCCAGTGAATAATTCCTCTTACTCCCCACCAAACGCTCAGCATAATCTTCTTTTGGTTAGAGTCATGTTTGGGCGTTGCTACACCTTTTTGTCCAGCTGCCAGCCACTGCCGCTTACGTGTATGGTTAACATATAACACCCACTTTTCATCGCCAGTAATAAGATTATTAAGCCATCGGTAGTTGCCGTGAGATGTCATTAATTCCATACAAGCATCAACTCTGTGTTGGAGCTGATGCGGTGACAAATCATGTGGTATCCAAACTCCATATTTGCACGTTTTGCCTAATTCGTGCAGATGTGTTGCCACTGTAACATGAGAGCACCCAAGGTGCTCTGCTAAACAACGTGTAGTTAATCTAGGATCATCTTCGATAAGTTCCTTTAAGCGATCGATATCCACCTCGAGTGGTCTTCCAGTATGAGGTAAATCATCGAGTCCAAAGTTACCGTTGTTGAACTGATTGAACCAACGTTGCGTTGTACGAATGGAGAGTGCATTCGTTCCCATCGTATGGCATATGTTACTTGTTGCTTCTCCTGTTTTGTGACCCAGACGAAATTCGTGAAGCAAAAGAAGTCGAAGCTCTCTACGAGATATATGCAATTCTAGTTCGCTATCAGCGTGTTTATCCATAGTTTTATTGTGGTTCGAGAGATATTTACACCGCCTTTATATACCCTTAATATGGAAATTTCCAGAACTTTCTGAACTGTTCTGGGAAAATACGAAAAAAACGACAAAAATTTCTTAACAAGCCAATAAAAATACATTATAGTATGCCATACAGTTTTTCAAGGGGGAAAAAGCGGATCCTGGATCCTTGGATCCTGTGCAAGTGGGAAAAAACGGATCCTCCGATCCTTGGACCCTTTGGATCCTTTGGGATCTTTTCAGATCCTAGGATCCAAAAGGATCTCAAAGGATCCGCTTTTCCCCCTTTGCGTTAAGCTAATTTTTAATCATATAAAATCATAGTGTGAAATTGTTCAAATGAAAGCTCAAAAGTCATACTGAGAATGCTGTATGACTGCTTTGAAAGAAATGAAAAAATTGAATGATGCATAAAATTTAAAAGAATGAAATTTTGCACATAGTCCTAAACATGTCTAAGCATTATAGTAGAATAGATAAATTCAAATTAAAACTTTTAGGAGGCTCGGGCCAAAAATCTTGGATATGGTGTAAATATCTGTCTCTTCCATTCACTTACACCCACATCCATACCTCACATCCTCTAGTTATCATCTTTTATTGAATTAGATAGAGAAGAATGAAAGTTAGACCTAACAGATTCCAATTTGTCTATCGATTAAAATATTTGAACAAAAGCAAAAAGCAAAATTAGTTTAAAACAAAAATCTTATGTTGTTCATTGTTTTATCAATCAAGATAAACCGCATCGTTTTCTACATTCTTCAATACCAACTGATGGATTTTGAGCTACTGACATTCGAATATCATTTATTGTTGTTATATTCAAACCACCAAGTGAGGCTCCAACAACATTTGCTGGTAATCCACCGAAGAATGTATTGGCTATAGTTAATACTCCTGGATCTTCATTGTTGAAAGCTGCTACGAAAGTTGCTGGAACACAGTTCAAATTTTGTTCAAAATGGATAGCTCCTTGAGGAAAAACAGCTGCCATACCACGACGCACAGTGTTCATGATAAAACCAACTCCATTTTCTTGGAGAAATCCAACGTCGAAGTCTCCATCGACTGAGAAATTTATTTCAGTAGCTCGAGGATGAGTATGTGGAAGATTGATACCACAAGCACTTAAATATCCAACCGTCATTGCTACACCATTCCCAATAGCACCAGGAAAGTTGAATGCCTATGAAATAATATTGTCAATAGAATTTTGAATGAAAATTGGTAATAATTAATTGAATTAAAACTTTTCAACAAAATTCATCTAACATGTAACTTTTCTGTCTATGTTTAATAGTTTTTCAAACTACATAAATCTCTCTTTAATAGAAAATGCAATTCTTTTTTAAAATTTGATTAGAAGATGAACATATATGAATTTTTTTAGAGTTTAAAAATTGAACGCATGCTTGTCAGACAAAAGCTAGTTTTCATTTATAAAAACCAAAATATATTTCAGATTTTATTTTGTACTTTTTTTCTATTGAACGCTTAAAAATTGTTGCTCGAAAATTTTATATTTTCCTTTGACTTCAATAATAGAAAAAAGAAAGACATTTGTTCATTTCTAAACGTCGAACTTTATTTATCAAAAAATATTTTAGTAAAACTTCTTTACAAGAACTAATGAACAATTATCTATTTAAAAAATAAGATATACTCACTGAAGCTTGCACAGTACGACCTCCAGTTCCTTTGGATATACCAGTTGTTGCAGAAATAAAATCAAAAATAAAGTCACTAGCATTCAATTTTGCTATGCGACTTTGTTGATTGATTGAGTTTCTTACATTCTCAAGACGTTTAAGATCAAGAAGACCATTGCTAATCGTTGACAATACTGTACTTGTAGATGTTCTAGTAGTTTGACGGAAAGTTTCAACAATAATTAAAGAGCTAAAACAAATGAAAAATTGAAACATTTGCATTTTCACTTTGATTTAGTTGAGGTCGTTGTCACTATTAAGATTTTTTCGTTGAGAATGGCAATATATGTATTATTCTCAATTGTATATATAGAGTTCTTCTATAATGGAAAAATTATGATTGTACTTGAGATCAAAATATTGTCATTTATTAGTTTATATAATGTCACTTCCTTCAATCATAAAAAAAAAGAACTTCAACTATGCATGATATTACTTCTTACGTAGACATAAAATCAGTATTCATTTGATATTTATGATATTTCATCAAATAAATCTGTTCCTACTTAGAAATTCCCGATGAATCATGAAAAATCACAATGTGTTGATCTTCTATATAAAAAGAAACTCAAAAAGGAGTCAACTTTATACTTTTCTATATTCTGAATTTCATTAGATATAGACAACCGTTGTTGGATCCATGGAGTCATCACAACAGTACGTATTTGATTTTTTCTTATATGCTTTATATATACAATAATGAAATTTTCTTGAACAAAAAATATAGTTTTCATAATTGAAAGAAGATTTTTAGCATTGATAAAGATCTACTATTCAGTTGTTAGTTCACAATATCATCTTCGTAACAAAAATAATTAATATAACCCCTTTTGCTTTTTATCAAAATTAAGTTCAATTATCGAATTATGTATTTATTCAGCAAACGAATTTTTCACAAAAAAATTGATTTTTCTTCAACTGATAAATCCATTCAAAAACTAGTCGAAAGAAAACTGTTGAGCTGTAGTAGATCGATCGTAGATATTTACGATTATATTGTGAGAATGTTGACTCAATCAATTCGAGTTGTTTTCAAAAAAAATAACTATACAGATAGATAAACGACAAAAACTTTGTTTTGATGCGTTCGAAAACAAAAAATTAACATAACAAAAAAAAAGAATTTGAGAATAGTCGTTCAATGTTACTTATTTGTTTAGCATTTCTATCCAACGAAAAGTACATTTGAAGTAAACCACATAATTATGCATTTATTAATGCTAAGTGCTTTCGCTTCGATTGCAGGATATACACAGAATTCGCCGAAACAAAAAAATGTCACACTAAAAAGGTCAAAAAAAAGTCACTGAAATAAAAAAATGTCGATCATAAAAAAATATCGAACGAATAAAATGTCAAGTTTGAAGATGACCGAAATACACTATTTACTATTGAGAGTAGGACATAGAGCCTATACAATCCTGCCCGTAGGTGATCGGACTCAGATTTCAAAAACTTTTTGTCCACCGAGTTCGTGTCCAGGTACAGAAATTCTTGAAGTCAATCGGCTCAGTAGGAGTATCAGAGTTCCTAGGGACGGGACCCGAAACTGGCACGTCTAATTCTACTCTGATGGGAAGGAAGCTGCGGGTCCTTCCAGACCCAGATTCAGGCCCAAAATTTAATTTATTATCAGGTGTGAGTCTCAAATTTTACTTGTTTTTACGAGTCTGAATTTACAAAAAACATGGATTCATAGCCCTCTGCGGATGGAAAAAGAAGAAATTCTTATCGTGGGACTCAAAAAGATTTTCGAAGCAAATAGGAAGTGTAAGTTTTAAATCGAAGTTTTTCGGCTTCCCACTCCATTCCCATTACAGACTGTAGGAACTAGTTTTATACTCGCTGAATATTCTAATTCATATGAATTATGTGAGTTCCACATTTCAATCTCACAGAGACTGCGCTAACAAGCATTTTACAGCTAAATAATCTAAACTGTCGTATACTAACATTTTCGACATTTTTATTGACAAAGTATCTAGTATAAGTATTAGTCTTATTGTTAATCTACACTATTTCTGCGATATCTACATTCATAATTAAATATGCCTATTTACATTCGAATTCAAAATCGAAATCTCCATGTATAAAAAGCTAGAAAAAAATAATCTGATTTGTATCAATTTTTCGTGATTAAAATCAACTAAACTTTTAAAAATCAATTTTTATCGTAGTAACTATAGAAATCGTTTTTCTTGAGTTTTAAGTTGAAAACTCAGTTTTTTCGATTTCTCACTCGACAAATAGTAAGCCTGATACTAGAACAATCTTTAACATATATATATATATATCCTACTCCGAGATATGAGAGTGTGAGTGTATAGATCTTCGTACCCATACCCTGTGTGTCTGTCACGATCTGTGGGGAAGAGGGATGCAAATTAATATAAAATGACAAAGGAAAAGAAGGAATTATTGAAAATATTCTTCATTCAAGAAAAATCATTATACAAATATTTTGGTGAGAGCAAACAAGATTGGTTTCTTTTTTCATAGTAATAATGGAAATATTCACTTACATATTTCGAACAAGATTATTTATAATATCTATCTATTTTTTTTTTATTTAAATTCAGTTTGGAATCAAATATACATGAAATAATATGTTCACCGATCGAATCGAAATCATCTTCATTAACAAATAATTCTATTAATAGTAACTTAGAACAAGAATCACTCAAAAATTCGATATCGACTAAAGATAAAAAAAACATCACCATCAACTTAGATGTCAAAAGAAAATCAATAGAACAAAATTCTGTCTTGAAGGATCCTCTAACCTCACTTGAAAGTGAAATTCATTCTACATCGTTATCCATGTAAGAGAATTTTCGTTTTCCTTTTTGTTTGTTCATTACAAATCTTATTGAATTTTTCAGACCATCCATCAATCGATCTTTATCGTTTCGGTGAGTATTTCTTTGATATAACTATAAAAATGTTTTATATTCACTCTTAATTACTTGTTTTTGTTTTCATATAAATGCAGACAACATCGATTATGTACACATACACAATCTTCGAATGAACTTGATCGTGCTGAACATCATTTAAATGAATTACTCAATGAACCATTATGTGATCATGATTTTCGTACTTTTACTAAACACTTTGATGGTGATATAAGTAAAAAAAATTTTACAATAGAAGAATTTTATAAACTATTTCAACTCACAAAAACATTCGGTAGAAGAGAGAGAGAGAGTCCAATGTTGAGTGAAAATTAATTCTCTATCTATTTAGGTGAACGTCTTCTTGGTATATTAAATGAGAGTAGATGTATCGAAGCTAAATCAATTAGTGGTGAAAATATTATACGTATTGCTCGAATTCTTTCTATGGCACCAAGATTAGTTAAAGCACTTATTCTATTTAAAATTTTCGATCATGATGATAATAAAATGATAACTATTCAAGAAATTTCGGAATTTTATGAAATTTATCTTGTTGAATTTCGATTTCCTCATAATGAATTACATCGTCAAGAATTGATAAATACATTTCTTCAAAATTTTCGAATGATCAATGATAATGATAATTTAAATTTTGATCAATTCTATTCAATTCTTCAAGAAACACCTGAATTATTCGAATCACTTCAACTTATGAATATTCCAATCAATGATAATGATATTAAAAAATTAGAATGGCAAGCATGGCGAATCAATAATAGATATCAAATTCTTATTGGTCTTCTTTATATCTTAGGTACAATTGGTATTATTATTCATGTAATAATAAAATTGATCATTCATGAACGACAACGAAAAGGTTGGTTCATCGTTGCACGCATATGTGGATATTTAATAAAATTCAATTTTGCTCTATTGATCGTTCTTATGCTTAAACAATGGATGAGATGGTTTCGACAATATCATTGTTTGAGACGTTTCTTACCTATTGATGATCATATTGATGCTCATCGTTACGTTGGAATAATTTTCGCAATTTGTAGTGTTGTGCATTCACTGGCTCATACTATTAACTATGCTTTAAATAGTGAAGGTGAGTTTACATGATAATTAAAATAATATTTTACTGTATATCTTAAACTACTACCAGTAATCATAGAAGTAATGGTATAGCTCAAAGATTATAATTAGTTTTATGCACACATATATTTAATAATATGAATATTGTTTTCCTATTAGACTTTCATTCGCTAAGATGATATTATTCTCGAATACTAACTAAAGTATATCGATGAGTCTTTAACCGAATAAAGAATAATCATATGTCAAATCGTACGACTATTTTGAAAAAAGTCATACCCCAAAAAAGAACAGAACAGTAGCATGCTATTTCTTTCGTTTTCTTTTTCTTCGTTTACAAGCTGAAATGAAAATGAGTAATAAGTATATGAAACATATCAACAAGATAAAAAAAACAAGGATACAACAACAGTCAATAAAGAGTCACCAATAGGAAGAGAAATGAAGGAAAAAAATTTAGAGAACGAAAATGTCATAAACTTGAAGGACATTCTTTATTAATGAATACACAAAAAAAAATATGTAGATTATAACCTTTACAATTCATCATAGTATTCGAATTTTTCAGAATATTTCATCTTGTTTTTTTGATTTTCGAAATTATTTATTGTAAGTCTTTGAAAAAATCTTGTTATTTAATATAGGCTATTCATTTGTTCAATGTATGTTTACAACAAGTCGACAACAAGGTTGGGTATCTGGTTTGACTCCTATTACTGGCAATATTCTTCTTGTTTTTCTTATTATTATGATTATTGGTGCATTACAATGTATACGTCAACGAGAAAAATGCTTTATACTTTTTCGTATATCACATTTACTCTTCTGGCCTATATTTATTCTTCTTGTAATTCATTCAGAAGAGTTTTGGAAATGGGCATGTGGACCAATGTTTCTATTTATATGTGAAAAACTATATCTGCTAAAAAGATATTTACCACAAAAAGGTCGTACTCATCTGAAAAAAGTCACAATCGAAGATGATAATACGATTTCATTTACTATTGTACGACCTCCATATTTCAACTTTAATACAGGAGATTATGTTAATATTTGTTTTCCTCGTATAGGTATAATATAGAAATGATTTTTTTTTTTTTGATCGAAACAAATATCTTCATATTCATCTATATTTCAGTTTCTTACGAATGGCATCCATTTACACTTTCAAGTTGTCCAGAAAATAAAGATACTTTACGTATTCATATTAGCAAGAGAAAAAATTGGACAAGAAAAATCTATGAACATTTCTATCAACAATGGCAATATCAAAATGAACATTTTGATGTTGTTACCATTTCAACAGCATCTATAACCAATAATAACATACATTCTCCTTCTGTTAATTATCCTTATACATTCAATAGCAATGAATCCATTTGGATTGAAGGACCCTATAGCAGTTCAACATCGTATACATTCGACTGTGAACATGTTGTATTAATTGGAGCAGGCATTGGTAGGTTTTTGCATATTACAATCTCGAGAACGACAATAGCTAGAGACTTGCGATTTTCATCAACTGAAATAGGCCGAGTTAGGACGTTTTAATCATTTTTGGAAATTTTTTTCGAAAAATAATATAACCTCAATGCAATTTTTATTCTGATATGCATGTTAGATAGAAGAACTTCAGATCTATAGTTCAAGATACAATTCGAATGATTATATATTTTTCGAAAAGATCTTCAAAAATGATTGACTTAGCAATGATTTTACTAGCTACTGTCATTCTCGAGATATTCGTTTTACATCAATCCACATTTAATTCTGGTGTTGACATTAGTAACATAATATTTCAAATTTTACTTTAAATTTTGTTATTTGATTTTGCTGAAAATAATCTGATCAAATAGAATTCATATCTCTATTCTATTGTTCAAATAGATTAACTTGAATATTTTCCTTACTATATCAATTTTTAGGTATCACTCCGTATGCCGGCGTTCTCGAATCTTTAATGTATCAATTTCGTGAACAACAAAATAAATGTCAACATTGTCACTGTATTAATTATGATCATGAAGCAATTGCACGACGAAAATTAAAAAAAGTCGATTTTATTTGGGTAAATCGTGATGTGAAAAATTTTTCTTGGTTCCTACAATTATTGACTGACTTCGAGAATGAACAATTAACATATCTTCAAACATCAACATCGGAAAATATTGTTCAGCAACGTTATATTGATTTTCATTTATATTTTACATCGTTGAAAAGAAATGATCAAGGAATGATTGGTAATGCTCCTTATGATCTTGTCTCAAATATCTATGCGAAAATATCAAATCGAGATATTCTTACTAAATTGAAAACAAAAACAATTGTGGGTAGACCACAATGGCCACTCTTATTTGCCAAACTTAAAGCTGAATATGAAAAAACAAATGTCTTCTTTACAGGGAGTCATAGTATGGGCGACGAAATCAGGCGTTTATGTGATCAATACAAATTTATGTATCATCATGAACCTTATTTTTAACTATTGGGTGTGGATCTGACCGCGTGCAGCCGTGAATGTAGATGTATGTGACTCTGAATCTTCTCTTAAGCCACACCAGCATCCCATTAGGTATTGCATTTAATAATATTGCATTTATCTATAAAACCGTCGAAGATTATATCAATGCAAAATCATATTATGAAAATGAACTTTAGATTCATCGAGAACTCTTCCAACTACTAATCGAAATGTAACAACAACTTATAATAATATTGATTTATTGCATACATTATTAGGAAATTATTTCACTACACTTTTATATTTTTAAAAAAAACTTTTGAAAATAATAGAAAAATCTTTTCTATCAAATGATTTGAGTTTAGCTACGATCAACAATTACATAGGTACGATGAAGCTACCAAACACGCTAAACAAGCATTTTATATCGCTATTGATACACTCGGATACGATCCATTCAAAAAGTTGAATATTTGATTGTATCTTACAATAATGTAGTCAGAAATTATAATTACTTTTATTAACAAAATGTTGTCGATCAAGGTTATGTTTTTATCGAAACAAAAAAAAATAATTAATAGAATCTGTTATGTAGAAAATAACTTGAGGATATAACTAGTGATAGACTTGCGATTTTCACCATAAGGAAGAGTGAAGTGAGTGTACGTGAATCTAACCTACTGCACGAAAGTCTTGGCGCGCAATTTTTGTTCAGTTTTCTACCATCCAGATGTCGCAGTAGAGAATAAAAGACAGTCGGTTAGAACAAAAATTTGATGCTCTTTCTAAATGTATGTTCAAAATTATTTTTTGACGTAAGACTGTTAACCAGAAGCAAATGCTTGAATGGGCTTAAAATGGACGTCTGTGAAAAAATTTTTCATATTACTCATTTTTGTATTTTGATTAAAATTGTCTCAGTTCAAACGACAGAAAATCTTCTTATATATCACTTTGTTGAATGAACTTCTCTTTTTACATGTAACAACAATGACTCAAAATCTATTGCATTTTGAAAAAGTAAAGTTGAGAAAAAACTCATTTTTGACAAAATCTCATCTTATTTAGAGAGTAACTCTTTGAAAAATCTGTGTAGTCCTTGTTTGTTTTTAGTTCTAGTTTATAATAATTCACGAATTCGTAGAAAATTAAATGGTCTACGATAGTATAGAGTCAAAAATTGTTCCAAAATATCATCCAGAGAAATTTTGAATAACAAGAAAAAGTCTATTTTATTCAGCGTGTAAATGTCAGTTTTGGTTTATTCAGTTGTTTGGTCACAGTTAAATGATATTAAGTTAAGAAAAAAATTAATCATATATTTAGAATGAATGTAAAATTCTAATTCCAACTGGCTACTTTTACTATCCTTCGATGACAGTTAAGTATTCAAAAATGAGTAAACATTTGTGCCAAGACGTTTCAACTTAGTGTTTGCACAGACGACTATTTTGAACTCATTCAAGTATTTACTTCTAGTTAACAGACTTAAGTCAAAAAATAATTCTGAACATACATTTAGAAAGAGTATCAAATTCTGATTCTAACTGACTACCTTTCATTCTCTACAGTGATAGCTAGGTAGTAAAAAATTGAACAAACATTTTGTGCCAAGATTTTCACGCAGTAGGTTAGAAGGTATCTTCTGGAAATTTTCACCAAATTTCAGATTTCTTTCATAATATTTTGAATGCTCGGAAAGAACTGGAATCATTAAAAATCTACGATGTTATTCTCGTTATCTCGACTGACGCATTCGACTCAATAAAGTGCAAAGTTGGCAATCAATGGAAAAAAGCGAAATAATAGATGGAAAAGATGGAAAACCGAAAACGAGATTTGTGTGAGTAAAACATGGCGAATGATTAGATAAAATAAGACAGATCGAAAGAAAATCGCACTCTGCATAGTTTGACAGGAAAGAAATGAATATTTGCGTGCTTTTCATGGAGTACGTACATTATTTCCACGTTGTCATAGCATAGTATAACGAAAATGATTACATGATGAGCAATGTCTTCTGTTCGTCAATTGTATTGTTGCTTTTACTCGATTTTTGTCTTACTAAGTAGTTGTATTAGAACTTTTTCTCATCTTGAATATTGAAGATATGAGTTAATTTTCTGTCTTTCGTTGAACAAAATGATTTCCGATCAGTTGAAATAGCATTGTAAACTGATTTTTAAAGGAATAAGAAACGGTATAATCAATTCAGTGTACAATCGAAACCAAATATTGTTATTCGGTTTTTATCGATTATTCTGTTGTACGAGACTTTTTTTATTAATTAGTACGTAGAAAATATTGTCTCAGATAGTCTCTATTGAGAAACGATGTAATTGATCATCCACTAACAAATTTGGAGTGTTATCAGAGCTGCAACGTTATAATTTATTGACTTAATACCATCCTTTTCATATCCATGTCCATTATTTTGATATTGCGAAAAAATATTCATGAGAAAAAAGAAATCGAAAATGATATGTTCAATGCATGAAAAAGTATCTTTGTATCTCAATAAGCCTCAATTCGAATGTAAAATCTTTAGCAATGAATAATACAATGAAAAAATCATTCGATCATATTCAAACTCCTTAGTTCTATTTATTTAGAACTCATTTTTAAATAATATCTGAATTGATGAAGGATCATATACTCATAAAACAAGAACAAGACTATTTTCACTACTTGTGATTATGAATAGATAGTTTTGGTCGACTAAATACTTGCCAAACTAATTATACAAAGAAACTTGACAATGCCAACTTGAATAATCTAAATATGTTTGTTTATACGAGACATTCTATTTGATCTGACTATATACATTAGACAGTTATTTACCAAATTTCGAAAAGCTACCATTCCAATCTCCATGACCAATGTCTATTCAATCATATGAAAAGTAGTCTAATCGATCGTTGCCTTTGTAAATTGAATTAGTTGAATATTATCTGTAACATGAGATTTATACATTGGCTATTTTGTACATGGCACAAACAGATCTTATGTAAACTAATTCGATCAAGGATTACTTTGTGTCACAAATTGAGTTAGAAGAAATTAATTTTCTCATCTTCAGTTTTCGATTCTCACTTAGACACATTCAAATGATTCAATCAAATAATCTTGTTTAGTCGAAAAAATCGAGAGAAGAAAGTTCTATATATTTTATTATTGCAAGAATAAAATTTTGAATGTGAAATAATATATTTCAGTTTTAATATAATCACTTGGAAAATTTAGATAAGTCTAAATAGAAAAAAATTTGTCGTAAATTCAAGTTCATTTTGTATTGATTATTTGACTATTGAATAATTTATGAAAATACATATGAATTAAAGAGTAATATCACAAACACCAACCATACTATCACGAGTAACTATTGAAAGTAATTGTTCTCGAGACCAATTTTCTGTATTTTCAGGACGACGAGGAATAACTAAGTAACGTAAATCAGCTGTGCTATCACAAATTTGAATTTTCATATCATTAGGCAGTATAGTTCCAAATTCTTTTAAAATCGAACGAGGATTTCTAGGTGCACGAACACGATACGATCTTGACTTATACCATCCCGGTGGAATACCAAGTAATTGTCGAGGATAACAAGAACAAAGAGTACATACAATTAAATTATGAATTTTATCAGTATTTTCTACAACAACCAAATCATTTTTTATTTTATCAAGTTTCAAAAATTCCATAATTGTATTTGTACCATCTTTTAATAAACGTTTTTTAAATTCTGGATTTAACCAAGCTTCAACAACAATATTCGCTCCTCTTTGTTCTACTCCAGCCATCTGATTTGTTTCAATTTGTTTACGTAATTCTTCACGATTAATAATATTTTTATCAATTAATGCACTCACTAATGATTCTGATAAATGTTGAGCAGGTAATGGTGTTCCTTCACGATCTACTGCTGTTTGTTCGATAATAGCTCTGGCTTCGTGCATATGATCATGGTCGTGATCATGATCATGATCTTTGTGCTGATGATCAACATCATGTTTATGACAACCTTCATCTTCATCTTTTTCTGTTGGTGCACAGGGTTCTGATGCAGGCATTAGCCAATGTTGGTAAATTTCTACATCAATAGTATCATTAGCATTACCTTCATAATGATTCCAAATATATTTCTGATTAAATCTTACTCGATAAAGAGGTTGATGATGAACAGTAGTATTATCAGTATTATCATAAGCAAAATATTCCGGATTAGGATATGATCCACAACATCTTTCAATAATACCAACTTTACCATACAAATAACCAGGTGTACGTAAATGAGGTTTTATCCAACGAGTAGCATAATTTTCATGATGAACACGTACTTTATCACCAACATGAAACAATTGTTCATCTGTCGAATGTAAAGGTGGACCGTATTTCTTATTCAAATCTTCTTGAGTTAATATACCAGATTCTAAACAACGTTTAGCAATAGAAATTGCCCATCGTTCATAATAACTTAATTTATTGTAGATTGATTTATCGATTGATTCTATACCTTTTCGTAACATATGAACATTCATAATACGTTTTCCGACTAATAATGTTTGTACAGCATCAATTTGTTGTTCCCAATAGGCATATTCTTCAATGCTTCGATCTAATGGTTGTAATAATTCTTCATCATTTTTCATGTCTTCTTCAGTGGTTATTGAGGCTAAATCAGATACTCTATCAAGTGATACCATTGTCAGATACTCTAAAAACAAAAACAAAAAAGGATTAAGAAAATTCATTTCCTTAGAAACTTTTTAAAATTGCGACAAAGCAGAAAAGTTCAGTTTTTTCATTACCAGTACCTTGTAATCAGTCTAGAATTCATGAGAAAACAGTTTTTTAGCAAAATGAGGTATTTCCGTGCTATTATAACATTTTATTGATGAGTTATAATCGATAGAATACCAATGTTGAAATATCGTTATAAAAAATCAACAGGAGTATCTAATCAGACTTGATTTATCTATCCTAAAATTTCTCAAAGAAACTTTTCACAAAAGCCGATA